CTTCACCCACAGAAATTTTAACCTTATCAATTCGCATGAGTCTTTCTTCATCACTGGAGACTCTTAAGTACTGCCTCATTCCTTCCAAAACCTCAGGCGCAATCCTAGGCCTCCCTGAAGACGGATCGATTCCAACCTGATTCTCTTTTAAGACCCCAAACAAAGGATCAGATTCAGACAGAACCGGAGCTGGTTTTGGCTTTGGAATTGGATTACCAGCACGCCTAGCATCAGCAACATCTTGATTTTTCTTGATGAGTAGAGGACAGTGGTCTTTGTCGTGAGTCATTCTCTGACATTCAAAACATCTTTTTTGTACCCTTTCATACTCATAGAAAACCGTAGCTGTACCACCTTTGGGAAGGTTAACCACTTTGGATCTTCTGAGCGGTCTAGAGACATCAAAAATGATCTTAACTCTGATAAAATCTTGTAGCTGGGGCTTATTGGTATCAAAAGCAACTTCTTTGACTTGCCCAATCTGTTCACCAAGGAGAGTGAGAGCCTTCTCCGTATAAAAGTTAATCGGTAGATTCCACAGCTGAATCCACATCGGAGTAAACTGTAAGTAGTTATCAGGTGGAAACTCAAACCATCTATCCACCACAATGGTCCACTCATTGAAAGTGTGAACACCTTTCTCAAGAACTTCAACCAAATCATGCTCGGAGTTGAAGAAAAATTGGAATCTTTCCTTAGAGAGAGCTACTCCTCTAACTCTGCCTATTTTTTGCCATTTGCGAGGCATGCTCCGAATGAGATGATCCATCGGTTGACACTCGGGATTGAGAGTACGACCCACAAGACTTAGAACATTTCTTTCGCAAGACGAGTACTCCGGAAGGTCTGGCATGTCAAAGGGAACATCAACTTCCTCCAGAGACATCGCCATCAATGCCTTATCCATAGCTGAAGACATCTCTTCACTAGCAGAAGAAGAGAATCGATAGATCTGTTCTTCAAAAAAACCCAAACAAAGACCTCTGTACCGTTCACCCTTTGTAAATCAGAAGACCCAGCAAAGAATAATCGGAAGAAAAAGACTTAAATCAAAGAAAATAACCCAGAATTTTTCAAAGCAGGAGAAATCACTTAGAACCCTAGCCGTCAATGAAGAGAAAGTAACGAAAGTGAGGTCTTGAGTAATAAACTGGCTCGAAACAACTAAAGGGAGAGTGTTTTGCTCCGGTCAAATCTCTATTTTAACCCCAGTGAAAGACACTAGAGTAAAAAGAGGGTCTTAAGCGAAATCTGGTCTTTTTTCACTGCAACATTATGTTCTCTTCTCTCCAATACATGGTCTTTATTTCTTTTTCATGGAAAACATCAAATAATTGTACAGTACTACTACTATTTTGGCATTTTATTCAATAAAATTTCCACTATCAAAGAAAATCAATGCAAAGAGGCTCATTTCTTTTGGGTTCTGAGCCCAAACTCTAATCTTCAAAATTTGGGTTTTATTGGTCACAAAGTCACAAATTGGAAACTAATCCAGCCACTTTACATAGAATGATGATGACTGAATCAGTTTCAATTTCAATTTCATACCTCGTCTCTCAAAAGCTATTTCATTGCTTTAAGCCTTTAACACATAATATTCATCCTTCAGCCCCCTTGCAGCAGCGGCTCAAGAGTTCGTTATATGGGCTAATAGGCCCTAATCAACTTGTAATTATCAGGCCCAGTTCAATAGCTCACGACCTCACGTGGTGTAAACCGAATTATTTGTAATAGGATCCAAATGTTTCCGAGTATTTTATTATACCTTGACCTAAAAGTTGACGGTGGCTACAATCAAACCCTAACTAGTTGAACGCTTATTGTGGCCGTCTAATTAAACCCCAAAACTTTCTAAATATCACACTGTGGCCTAACAGAGAGAACAAGAACAAAAGACTGAAGAACCAAATATTACATTTTTGTGGTCTGTAGCCGGTTGAAATGCAAACTACAACAAAAGACTGACGAACATAAGAAGAAAGAAAGACAAACAGAAATCTAGATTGATAAACTTAAAATCCAAACACATCCAACAGAATGTTCCCAATGCCAAAAGCAAAGTATGCATTGGAGGCTGCAAGCTTTATCTGGTTCTTATTGAGAACAAATTTTTCCCAGTCGTCAAGTACGGCATTTGTTGGTCTCTCAGTCGAAACAATAGTACTGAGCCTAAATTTCACATCGGCCGTCATATTGGTCAGCTTCCATGTGGCGGGTCCAATCTCAACAACATTCTTGCAGGTCAAACCAAACTCACTCTCAAGCCTAAATCATAGTCTTGTTTATGCCAATGCCTACAAATGCAAACTCGGGTAGGTTGAGAAAATTGAAAAGAGATCACCTTCACCTTCACCTTCATTGGGAAGTTGTACTATTAGACAATTGTCTCCATCACAGAGCTGCAACAAGACAGTCTTATTTAGATTTCTTCCCTTTTGCACGTGTTCGGTGTCAAGACCAATTATCTTCTTCCTGTTGTTTTTGTTGGACAAGAATGTCTTCACAAGACGGTTGCTATCGCTCTCTTTTTCAGTTACCGTTGTTTTGATGCTATCTATTCCAATTTTAACAATGGACGAAGACATCTCTAAAACAATGAGGGTAAGTGATAAATCATACTAATTCTGAACATACGTGTCTTTATTATATAGACATGAAAGGGAACTGCAAAAGTCGCAACCTTTAGAGAGGAATACAAAGAGTATGATGATGATAGCTGTCTCAAACTTTTAGATTAACGAGGCATTAATATTTGTTACCATGAAAGTCCCAACCTTTCTAGAGGAAAACGAAGAGACTAAACTTAAATGCATGTAGACCGCACAGGTTAAGGTTGTAAGTAACTATTACTACCTTACTATTATGTCATTTGACTTGTGTGTGAATCATTTTTGTCTAGCTAGTAACCACTTCATCCATGTGGACAAACAATACCTTGCGATGTACTCCGGTAAATCCACCTGAAAAAACCATCTCACATGATAAACAACACAAATAAGAAACACATCTACTATACGAAACACAAATAAAGAAGAATAGGAAACTCACACTGGTCCATGTTGCAGAAAACCCATCAGTAGATAGCAACCAACTTCGACTTATTTGACGCAGACCTAAAAGCTCATCATCACCGAGATCATCGTCATCATCATCATCATCAAAAGCCCTCATCTTCTTCTTCATCTTTCTTTTCTTCTTCTCCCTCTTGTGCCTCTTTTTAGAAACATGGCTTCTACTATCTGAGTCAGATTCACTTTCTTCAGAGAATCCATTATGGCTTAGCAACGAGTGGTCACCAGAGCTGCGGAACTCAATCCCGTTTTCTCTAAATAGAAGCTCCCATGAATCTGGAGTCTGACACTCCTCTGATAATCTGAAGTGAATAGTCCAAGAAAGTAACCCGAGTAATTTTATCACCTCTATGTGTTTCATCTTCGAAAGCTCTCTCAGAATTAGAGAAAAGCTATTGCCGTTTTCCAAACCTCTGCAGATCTCTGCCATGGTTTCTTTCAACATTTCTCCCTCATCATTCCCGTTTTCATCACGTACAAGCCGCAGCAGCTGACGACCTTGGTTGATAATAGAATTCAGCAGCAGCAGCTCGTCGATAGATTCTGTGTCAACATATCTTGAAAGAACAACCCCGAGCCAGCAAGACGAGTCACCACTATCCCAAGATTTAATACTTGGCTCGAAATAGTTGCCAAGCAATTCAAGAAATCGACACAAGTCACGTTCTTCAAGAGTGATAAGGAGATGCTGTGTTAACGAAGAGAAAGACTCCTCCCTAAGAAACTCCTCAACAACATCCCAAACATCATCCATATCTTCTTCATACATGAAACCAATAAAGAGATCTATAAAGAATTTCGTGTCAAGAAACAAAATCTGTCCATCTTTAAGCGACTCAGCAAACTCATTGGAAGACCAGAATTCAGGAACATTGTCGAGAAAATTTTCAATGGTTCGTTGCACATCCAAATCAAGAAGATAATGAGGCTTTGTAGCAACAACCGCAGGCGATTGCCCGTGTTTACCTCGCCACTCGAGCTCTTCCCAACAAATATCCCGATTCGCAAACGCAAACTGCGCCAATGCTTTTGCACCTCGTTTGTGATCAGACCCACCATCATAAGCAAACTCAGAGAACCACTCTAGTATACGCTTCGTATTCCCTACAAACATCAAAAACTCTACATCAAACACAATCACAAGATAATGTAAACAAACAATGTGAGGTAAATTTAACCAAGACTCTTTACCTTCAAAGAACTTCTCAAGTATATAACTTCTTTTAGCTAACAAAGATCCAAGTTTCCTCGGTCTCTTTTCGAACATCATTGTCAGAAACTGAGATAAAAACTGCATCTTTCTGGGTTTTGATCTCAATAACTTCATGAAAATACTAAGTTGCTTCCTAGGAGATATAGAAATAGTAGAAAGAGCACTACAAAGCCAAAGTCTAGCTTCTGATCGAGCTCCATGAGTGACCAACGATTGAATTTGAGAGCCTAATTTGTTCAACAGAGGCAAAATCACATTGATGTTGTTGCTACTGTTGTAGGCAACATCGTTCCTCTTTGGTTCAGACAAGAACAGATTCACCATCTTGGTTTGATATTCAATCTGATCTAACAACAATATGATTTGGGTTTCATCGATGTAAGAAAACTGCAATTGAAGGTTATGTAAAAGTTGTAAAATTTGAAGCTTTCGAAGCACCAATTCAAATGAAATCTAGAAATTTTCAAGAAATCGGAAACGAAAGATTCAAATCGAAAGTTTAGGGTTTCAGATAATTTAGGGCTTGAAAAGAGAAAGAAGAGTACCAAGTTTAGTTGCGTCGTGGACGTAGCGAGAACTGAAGAGGAGAAAAATCAGGCCATCTGTTTATGACCGACCTGCTACTTCTGGTTCGCAACTTTCCTCATAGACTAGACGGTTCTTTTGATTTGTTCGAACCGACAACGATTATTTTTGGATTGGTTCGAGCCGACCGGCTCTATTTAATTTGCAAAATAGAGAGTGAAATGACCAACCCCAAAATCCATAAAATTCGCATTTGAAAACTTAAAGCACATTCTTTTATGCGTGTCATCCTTGCGCCGGGGTAATGCTAATCTTCTCTGTATCGTTCTCTATGTTTAGGTTGGATTGAAGATCGGCAGAAGGAAGGTGGATACAAATCGATCCATGACTGATTGGCGGTGGCTAATCGGAATTATGGAGATCTCCGGCGAGACTTGACGGTGGCGTTGATTTTCGACGCGTGGGCTAAGAAGACCACGTATTATACACGTGTCAATAGCTAATTCATATGGGCTAATTATGTTTATTGTTATTTTCATCTTTGAATTAGTTTGGGCCGTTCTCGCTTGTATCCTGTTATCGTGCCTTCTGTACCAGCCCTCTGGGTTTTTAATGAAATCGTTGGCCGACAAAAAAAAGGCACATTCTTTTATGGTTTGTCTTTTTTAAGGACGCCTTCTCTCTCTTATCACATTGTTCATCCTTCAGAGAGAGATTGACGATTTCCGGTTTACCGGAAGCTTCTGTGTTTTTTGTTTTTTGTTTTCCGACTTTGTTCAGATCTTTGATTTCCTCTTAGTCGATGTTGTTTTTCTCTTAGCTTGTTTGTATTATCGACTAAGTAGGAATTTATATTTTGTTGTTTTTTCCCTCTTCCTCTTTCTACGAAAGTTAATTTCAAATCGCGTTTGCTTTTGGTTGGATTAATAAGCAACATGATACTTCTTCATAAATGGAGTAATTTTTTCACTGCTATGTCCTCTTCGTTTAGGATTGAAGACCTCTCTTCTAGGTCTTAGGTGGAGCTTTCACTTGGGGTTGGATTGAGTTTTGTCTTTTGATGAATCCAGTTTAATTGCAGAGGTTTTATCAGTAGAAAGATGGTTCTAATCCGTGAATTCAAGCATTCATCTGTTGTTTTTATCGTCACCGGCGGAAAGAAGCAGAGATTGAGTTCAGATCTATGACGGCGACGAGAAGAAACAAGAAGAACCGAGAAGAAATATGGTGGGCCCTCTTGATTTGTTTTCATCAAACACGTATTGAATACGTGTTAATTTTGTATTTGGGTTTCCTTAATTTGGGTTTTAATAAGGTTTGTAATCACGTGTAATATGCCCTTTTGGGCTTTATGTACTTTCCACAATATTTAATGGAAGTTGTCCGACAAAAAAAAATAATAAAACACATTCATTAGTGAGAGATTCTTTTGAGTTTCTTAAAATTAAAATATCTAATATTTTAATATTAAAAGAAAATTGACTACTAATAAAAAGACACATGGAAGAAAGGTTGATCAAATCCAATAAATCCATAAATTATTATTCAATAAATTAATAAACACATAAAATAATAAATTTTATTGGTTTCGAGTCGGTTAGTGTAAAAATTAACCAAATTCGATAAGATAATAAAATAATAATTTTTTTGAAATGTTTATATACAAATAGGATGTCAATATTATCATAAATTAATAATTATCTAAATTTTACATATATATATATATATAATTTAAGTGTTCTAAAAACAAAGAAGTTTTCGCTAGAACTCATCAACTGTTTTTATTATAACAAACAATTGTTATGTTGTCCTTTAAAGTTTTAAAGTATCGTATTATAACACCGACTACACATTTGTCATAAAAATAGCCAAAATGCTTTGTAAGATTTTCAACTTATAAGTATGCATCGTTTTTGTTTCGATAGTATTATCTATACTATTAATTGGGAAGCACTCAAACATAAATAACCTTATAAAGTGTAAAGTATTACAAAAATGCCATTGATTTTAGTTTTTAAATAAATTCATTAAATATACAATAGTAATCACAAAATAATATATTTAAATAAAAAATAATAAAATTCTTTAAAGTAATTATTTGTTTCCAAAAAATTAAACTCACTTTCTCTCTCTTATTAATTTATGGACAAAAATTTAATTTTTTTCTAAAAAGTTGTTAACCAATGAGAATTGAAAAACTAAGATTTGATATCCAACTAAAATTATATCCAACTAAAATTTTATCTAAACCAATACTAATAAACTATTCTATATCAAAAATAAAAAGAAAAATAATACCATTTTATTTCAAAAGTAAAAACACTATAGTTTAAATTTTTTTATCAATGGAGGATTTTAAGATTGAATATGAAATTTCATAAAAAAATTAAATACAAATATTTAAGACTCGGTTTTGTTATAATATTTTCACAAATTTTGAAATATAAAACAAAATTCTATTTCGCAATTTCTAAAAAACGATATTGGGCATTTATTTAGAGCAAGTTTCGCAAATAGCTAAACAATAGATTGTACATATTAATTTCGAAATATTTTGTGTTTTCTTTTTTTTTTCTTCTCAACTGGATCTTCCTTAAACCAATCCATAATATATTGCACACAGTTTTCGAAATAATGTGAACTAATTATATATTTTGCATTCAAAAAATATTATGCAGCAATAGCATATCCCTTTTATAGATATATCTCAAATTTTAATTTTAGTCTAAAAAATCGAATTAATTATGATTAAACAATGAAAAGAAAAATATGCAAAATTTAGCTAGAAACATTAATAAATTTGTTAAAATATATTTATAACTTTAACAACATACATATTAATCTGCAAAACTCACAGTATATATTGTAATATTGTATGGTATTTAAAGGTAAGCAAACAAGAATTTGGAACATAATTTTTAATGGAATAAAATGGAAATAAAAATTACGAGACGAGATGGAAGGGGAACATATATTAAAAACCAACTAAATACCCAATTGATATGAGTTCGGGTTATGAGCACTATATAAAATAAATTTGTTTAAACATAACCATGTACATACGTTTTCAGTTACACATACTCTATTTATGACAGATATGAGACCGTAATATTTTTATTTTACGTGTACGTGACAGGTTATGGGACAAAGAATTTATGACAGATACCAGACATGATATGTTTTCTGTTCCAAAATAGTTACGCCTTGCTAATATACATGAAATAACTCAAACTAAAACCGAAATTCATATCCTATTTAACATATGTAAGCAAACTGTTAGAACTGTTTTGATTAGTTAAGAAAATAAAAATGTAACACCATTTAACTTTTGCAACTAAATTAGTCCGGATCTTAAAATATGATTATGCATTAACGCAACTGAATTTTTTGTTCATTACTCTAACTTTATAATATTTATATTATTACGAAGTTCACTAATACAACAAAATATTTTATATTTTTAAAATCTATATAACAATTTCTATAAAAATATTTCTACACGTACGTAGATCCAGATCTAATACACTAAAATATATATCATAAAATAACAAAATAATCTATATTGAATTAAATTTTGTTAAAAAACATTTTAAAATATGAAAGCCCGCACGTACGTGCGGGTCATGATCTAGTAAGCTATTAAAATAGGGAACTAAAATTATTAAACATAAATTCAAGTTTATGTATAAAATTTATATATAGTTTTCTTTATTTATTGTCAATTTTTTTCTTCTAAATATTAAATTTCTCAATACAAAACGACAAAATTTGTAACATCTAAAACATTAGTTTTATTTAGATCAAACTGTTTTATCTCATAATTTTTAAAATTTGTAGCATTTAAAACAAATCTCTCTATAAATTAATATTTATAGATAAATTAATATCACTATAAATTAATAAAATTTCTTAGTCTTAGCATTATTACTTAGAGGTTTTAGTGGTTCCAAAGTCTCTCAAAAGATATATGTCTCTTCTTCTCTCTAATGTCATTTTTGTCAACAGCTTTTAATAAAATTCAAAAGAGTCATTCCTGAGGAATGTTGTTTAAATATATGATATGATGCGGTTCAGTACGATCTCTCATGCTTTTTTATTATTTTAAAATTTTTTAATATTAAGATATCTTCTTACATACCACCATTGGAACTGCTCTTACCTATAATATCTCTTAAAATCTGATGTAGGAACTAGTGAATCAAAATCATGAAATATTTTTGTGTAGTTTTGGTTGAAAAGTTAAATACGTTTGGAGATTTATGTATTTGAAAAAGGATATATTTTAAATGTTAAACTATTGTAGAGTTGAGAGGGGAAATGACATATTCTCCCGCAAACTATGTTACTTTATCACATTTATACCGAATTATCAAAATTTGAATTTACAACAACTTAAAATTGGAATTTACTATATGAATTATCAAAATATAGTCGAAACTAATGTTTTCACGGAATATGTTAGTTGAACCGGTAGAGATTGATCCTTATCATTAAATTGCGTTAGGATAACTGTTGAGCTTAATTAAAGTTGCAAATGTTGGGGGATTTTGGGCTTCCACCCACCACTTGTAAGTCCAAGTTTGGATTTTCCTTTTAATGGAAAAATGGTTGACAAAAAGAACTAGTAGAGATTGCTGTCTAGGATGCCACGTAGAGCCACGAAACGACGTCGTTTCATTAAAATATTAGAAAAAAAAACTATGATCAAATCTAATTGAACTTGGATTCTAACTGCTGACCTTTTCTCTGGCCTTCTCTTCTCCAATCCGAGTCAGGGATCAGAATTCAATCTATTTCTTCTGGTTCTTCGATCAACCAATAAGGAAACAAAATTAATAAATACTCAATAAGCTGGTGCAATGTTGCATGATTAGGGTATGGTATCAAGAAAAAATTATGAGATAATTAAGATTAGCGATTCAACAACACTCTCAATTTTTTCCTACCCCTAATTTGAAAAGAAATTTGAAATGAACGATTAGTGAATGATATCACCAATCGAACAATCAATATCTTCAATCACAACAATAGACGACTTCCATGTTGTGTCCATTGTTAGTTGCTTCAACTTAGAGTTATCCTTCATTGTGGTCAATTCAAGATCATACACATAATAATCCAAGAAATTAGCCCTCTCGGTAATCGCGCTTCAATGGCTTCCTAACTTTCTTGTAACAATCTTTAATTTCTTTTAGTAAACCTAAATAAATCCTTCTCAATCCCTTCTTTCTTCTCCGGATCCATAGCCAAAGTCTCGAACGTTGCAGGATGATCAAAAGGAACGTTGCTCCATCTTCCTTTTGGAGAGGAATAATCTTGACTTGAACTATTAGTCTAAAGTTTCCTCTCTCTGTTCTTTAACCCAATCTCTTTCCCTTCTTTCGAAACATCATCTAGATAAATATTTGTGATTATCTCTCTTATGCCGATTGTGG